GGTCTGATGTCAGGTCTGATCTCGGGTCTGATGTCAGGTCTGATGTCAGGTCTGATCTCAGGTCTGATGTCAGGTCTGATCTTGGGTTTGATGTCTGGTCTGATCTCAGATCTGATGTCAGGTTTGATCTCAGGTCTGATCTCAGGTCTGATGTCAGATCTGATGTCAGGTCTGATGTCAGGTCTTCAATTCAATTCAATTCAAAAATACTTTATTAATCCCAGAGATTAATTATTTGTTGTAACTCGTTATCCTCATTTCATTAAGAGATGTTATAGATGCTGATACTGTAGACAGGAAGGATCTCTTGTAAAGGTCCATCCCACAGTGGATCCTAAGAAACTGGCTGCAGATGCCGACCGATCCGTCCACCCAGACTCGGGTGATCTCTCAGTTCCCCTGGACTGTAGGACCGCTTGAATGCTGGGCTGAACTCCTCCCAGAGCGATGGCCACTCCTCCCAGCAGTCTGCAGAGTTCCTCATAGCTGCGGACAGCCAACTGTAGGTGCTGAGGGACGATCCTGTCCTTCTGCTGTCGTGAACCGTGTTTCCTGCTAGTTCCAGGATCTCAGTGGTCAGGCACTCGAGCACAGCTGGCAGGTAGATGAGAATGCGTCCACATAACATCCTTTTCAACTCATTTGAGAGTTGGGGCCATAGTTGAGATATTATTTGAGCTTTTGAGATGTTATTCAGCTGCTGTTGTTGTAGAAAACTGCCTTGTTGCCATGGTTACGCATCATAACAAATGTCCAAAACTAAAAAAGTTTCAGTAAAAATCCTTCCAGCTGCACAGCATCTGATACCAGAGGAAACAATCATCCAAAAAATATGATTTACATCCAGAAAACCAGGAATTAAAGTTTCCAAAAGCAAAATCTCAGAATGAAAATAACAGAGCTGCTCCAACATGCAGCCACCTGGAGCGGCGCAGTTCTAGAACAAGAACAAGGTCTTATCTCAGGTCTGATGTCAGGTCTAATGTCAGGTCTGATCTAGGGTCTGATCTCGGGTCTGATCTCAGGACTCATGTCAGGTCTGATCTCGGGTCTGATCTCGGGTCTGATCTCAGGTCTGATCTCAGGTCTGATCTTAGGTCTGATCTTAGGTCTGATCTCGGGTCTGATCTCAGGTCTGATCTCAGGTCTGATCTTAGGTCTGATCTCGGGTCTGATGTCAGGTCTGATTTCGGGTCTGATGTCAGGTCTGATCTCGGTTCTAATCTCAGGTCTGACCTTGGGTCTGATGTCAGGTCTGATCTCAGATCTGATGTCAAGTTTGATCTCAGGTCTGATCTCAGGTCTGATGTCAGGTCTGATCTCGGGTCTGATCTCAGGTCTGATCTCGGGTCTGATCTCAGGTCTGATCTCGGGTCTGATCTCAGGTCTGATCTCGGGTCTGATGTCAGGTCTGATCTCGGGTCTGATGTCAGGTCTGATCTCGGTTCTGATCTCAGGTCTGACCTTGGGTCTGATGTCAGGTCTGATCTCAGGTCTGATGTCATGTCTGATTTCGGGTCTGATGTCAGGTCTGATTTCGGGTCTGATGTCAGGTCTGATCTCGGTTCTAATCTCAGGTCTGACCTTGGGTCTGATGTCAGGTCTGATCTCAGATCTGATGTCAAGTTTGATCTCAGGTCTGATCTCAGGTCTGATGTCAGGTCTGATCTCGGGTCTGATCTCAGGTCTGATCTCGGGTCTGATCTCGGGTCTGATCTTTGGTTGACACGTGAAAATGAGAAAACCGACATGAACCGTCTGAGGAAGTCCTACCTTACTGAAGCGAGGAGAGCAAGAGGAGAACTGTCTGATCTCCACGGGCTCGTCATCGTTGGTGTCGTCCTCGTCGTATGTGTTGATGTGGTGATAACGGTCTGAGCGAGCTGACAGACAGGAGGAGAAGCAACGAGTCGAACCCAGAAATAACAGTACAACACATGAACTTTGGTGCTAAATACAGATTTCAGCTCCTTCAAGGTTCAAGGTTCTTTATCGTCACCACATGTGGTCCATGAGGTGGAATGAAAATATGTACTCAGGGTCCCAGTTCCATCCAACACTAGCTAAAATATAAAGTGTGAAAAGAAACAATATATACGGATCTAAGATATACGCTAAATAGGGGTTGAACGAGTATATACATTTTAAACTCGACATTAACATAATAAAACCCGAGTAGAACTCGAGTATTTGATGACGTCATAGATCTCAAGATACAAAAATAAATAAATAAATAAAACCGCAAAAAAGGTAATTATTTACAAAAAAAAAAGACCAGCAGAACATTGGGAGCGTATATTATGCTCCTCCCATTTATCATACGGCAAATAAGTCACAGGAAAAACTAAACTATTAGTTTTTATTATTAAACTGCAAACGTGAAGAAACGTGCAGCACGTCAGAAACGAAACTTAAACCAAAACTGGTTCTGGTTCGGTGGATTGGACCCGGTGTTACACCAAACTCTGTGACCTGCAACAGTGCAGCACCGCCCCCTACGGTCACACGGTGGTCACATAATATGACGTCACTACGGATACTCGACTTTACATTTTTAACATCGATAAATGTCCTAGCAATCGATGTGTAGATTACTCGAGTACTCTGTTAATGCCCTAATGCTAAACACTAATAATGTAATATACAGTAATAAGGTGTATTAAACAGCAGCCTGAACATGAGTCTGTGGTGAGCAGATGGTATAAATACAGCAGCTTAAAGGCAAGAGATCAGCAGCATGGATAATCAGCAGCATGGATAGTCAGCAGTATGGATAGTCAGCAGCACAGATAATCAGCAGCACAGATAAGTCACATATCACCAATTAAAGTGTCATCACAGTGATTATGCTAGTTAGAGATTCATGAGTCTAACAGCCTCAGGGTAGAAGCTGTTCCTCAGTCTAGTGGTTCTACACTTAATGCTCCTCAACCTCCTTCCTGAGGGGAGTGGGGCAAAAAGTGTGTGCTGGGTGAGTGGGCTTCATGCTCACTGAAAACATTTTCCATCAAACCACTGTGGGAGGTGGTCTGGACCCATTTAATCCACAAACGTTCATCAGTCTGAAGGTAATCTGGTCATCTGAGCCTAGTGTAGGAGCTCCTCCTGATCCCCTCCTGAGCTCCTCCTGGGCTCCTCCTGGGCTCCTCCTGATCTCCTTCTGATGTCCTCCTGAACTTCTCCTGAGCTCCTCCTGGGCTCCTCCTGAGCTCCTCCTGAACTCCTCCTGGGCTCCTCCTGAGCTCCTCCTAGGCTCCTTACGCAGCAGAGAGGACGTCTCAGAGGAACAGCTCCCTCCGCAGCCAGCACATTAAACATCATTCCTGTCGTACTTGGGAATCTTCTGAATTTAAGCCTTTTTTCATTATTGTTTGACTAAAAGTTTTAATGAAGTTTTTATAAAAAATCTTCTCAATGATTAGTCTGAATTTTATTTTTCAGAGCGGATGTTGCGTGGGCAGGTCTCTCTTTGATTTAATGATTGTTTTGGACCCACTGTGGTTGCTGTGAGCTATAATGTTCTGTTCATGACACAACAGCCTGAATCATCAGAGACCCTCAGATCAATGAGATCACAATACGAGAAGTTACATTTAACAGCTAACAGCTTTCACATGAAGGAATCTCTGCCTTCCTTACTTGGAAAGTTTATAGAAGTCAGTTCATGGACATCAGGCTGAGTCTGAACTTTCTGAAAGATTTTTGGCTAACAGGCATCAACATCGCTGCATGATGAGACAGTTAGCCGTACTGCTAACAGGACATGGGTCCTGGACTTCTTAACCAACAGACCACAGCCTGTGAGGATCCACAACTTCTCCTCCTCCACCATAACCCTCAGCACTGGCTCCCCTCAGGGATGTGTGCTGAGCCCCCTCCTGTTCACTCTGCTCACGTATGACTGTGCACCTGCACATCCACATGGTAAAGTTTGCAGATGATACAGCGGTGGTGGGATGCAGCATCACAATTAATTTATTAACCTTTATTTAACCAGTCAAATCCCACTGAGATCACAGATCTCTTTAAGGGGAGGCCTGGACCTGGAGGCAGACTAACATGCAGGTTTTCGATCTCTGGGAGGAAACAGGAGTACCCGGAGAAAACCCACGCAAGCACGAGACGAACATGCAAACTCCACACAGAAAGACCCCAGGTCCAACAGGGGATTGAACCCAGGACCTTCTTGATGTGAGGCAACAGTGCTAACCACTGAGCCATCGTGCTGCAGAACAACGATGAGTCCAGCTACAGGCAGAAGGTGGAACACCTGGAGAGCTGGTGCAGGAAGAACAACCTTCACATCAATGTGAGGAAGATGAAGGAGATGGTTGTGGACTTCAGAAGGAAGACCCCCCCCCCCCCCCCCCATGTTCAGGCTACTGTTTAATACACCATATTATTTTATTAGTATTTAGTTTATATGTTAGATCCTTGTATACTGCTTCTTTTTATACTTTATATTTTGGGTGTAACTGGGGCCCTGAGTACATACTTTTGCTCCAGCTCATGTAGCACATGTGGTGAGAATGACAATACAGAGCGTTGACGTGAAAACAAGCGTCGGACACGACGTTCAGGAGTTACTGGCCCAAAGGTCAGAGATGGTTGTAACATCAAATGTTCTGCTTCGCTCTCACGGCTTCATGTTGCCTGTTGTGCTGCAGCCTGTCGAAGTCTATCTGGTCATGAAATAAATATTAAGCTGCTGGTCAAATGTGCATTTATTTCACATGTATGTAACTATGACGACTGCCGCTCGCTGGGATGTTGGTTGCTGGTTTAAATCCTGGTTCTAAAGTTGGACGTTGCGCTTGAGGGCCAGAGGACGACAGTTTACAGCTGCATTAGTTTGTAGTGTTCAATGTAACACATAATCCTGTCATTAAAGCAGGATTAACAGCTACAGACATGTATGCTGAGATTAATTATTGCAATATTACTTCCTGGCCGTGCTGCTGAGCCCTCCAGAGCATCTCATTATATTCACTTCCTCGTGTTCACAATGAAACTGCAGAAAAACTAAAAAACTTCTGCTGTCTGCAGCTTGTGCAGTTTCTGCTTTCACTCTGAAGTCATTGAATATACACTTTTATTACTTTTATCTTGATACGTATTTATGGACAACACGTGACTCAAACAGCAGAACAGTTGGTGAGTAAATATAAAACGATAATGAATAAAATGATCGGCCTCTTACTGTCGAAGTAGCTGGTGTCCTCCTCGGACTCCAGGTGAGGAACGAACTCGGCTTTCTGCCTCAGCAAGCTGTTCCAGTCCAGGCCGGTGAAGAAGGCGTGCTGCTTCACCTCAAACGCTCCGCCTGGCGTCCGGGACACAAAGCAGACGGACAAGTCCACACGGCTCCTCAGAGAACTCTGCTCATATTTGCTGTTTAGATGAAAACTGGTCGACTCTTCAGCACAGCGTCCACGACGGACTTATTAAAATATCAGAAGTTAAACGGTTGGAAAGTCTTTTACTTTTTAAACGTTGAGTTCTGCAGACATGTTCTTTTTTATTTCCTAAAAGGAAAAATTTAAATATCCGTTCTAACGTAAAATAAGTTGATGTAAAAATGTGAGTTTTGTTGCAGCTTGTTGCATGAACTGGATGATTTATGATGGTTTATGATGATTTATGATGATTAGACTACGTCAGAGCGTAGCAGCGTTTTAGTCCCGTCATCTTTAGACTTTTCTTCCTGCGGTCATTTTGTTGATTTTTTACACATTTTACTTGTTTTGAACTGAATCAGTTCAATCGCACAACTTGAACACGCTCGAGCTGTTTGCTCAGGACTTCAGAGCGACGCCTCTTCGTCTAGTCTGCGTCTGTTTGACTCCAAACGTTCCTTCGGCTGCAGAAACGATCTAGCACAGGATTATTGAACGAAAAGCACGAGGACTGCTCGATGTTTGCATCGAGGCTGAATTGTGCTGCGAGAAGCACAACAACAGGAAAGTGTTCTTGTTGGACGTGTTTGTAAAGAGGATTAAATCAGCTCTTTCCAGTCAAATGGACACTTTGAATTGTCTTTATAAAAACTTCCTCTGTTCGAGAAGTTCATCTGACATTTGTTCCTGTACAAATCTTGCATTTGTTGTTTAGAAGAACATTTAATTTGAGTTTTGATGCCTTTCAGGAAAAGCTCCAACATTTTCTCTGAGCAGAAAGCAAACGCAACCCGACCACAGACTGATGTTTGTGTGGTGTGAAGCTGTACCTGTGCCGAGCCTTACGAGCGGGTTGGTCTGCAGCAGAGCAGAGATGAGCGCCTGAGCGTCTGCAGGCAGCGCCTCGTCGCCGTCGGGCCAAACGATATCATCTGCCACAGGAAGCAAACGATCACTTTAAAATGAAAAGGATCCAAACACATCCAAAAACAAAATGTGTCAACAAAATATTCTCATCAAAGAAGGCAAGTCTTTGCTGTATCTGTCTTTATAGTTTAATGTTTGACTTCTAAGGAAATTAAAGAGCATCATAAACCAACTGTCACCTGATTAACATCAGAAGAAACTAGTCTTTGGTTCAACAGCTACTTAACTAAACACATTCACTTTGTTCCACGTGGCTCAGTTTTGTCAGATACAGTCACACTGAACAAGGGGGGTCCCACAAGGGTCTACTTTAGGGCCCTTGCTCTTTTTACTTTATATTAATCAAATCTTTGATCAGCTTAAATTCTCCTCTTACCACATGTACGCAGATGATACAGTGCTATACTCGTCACCGCCCTCTCTAGATGCAGTACACTCAAATCTTCAGACTGATTCAACAGTTTACAGAACGCTCTCCGTGATTCAAAATTAGCCTGAATGCTAGCAAAACTAAAGTTATGTTGTTTCCCATAATTCTGTGGTAACCATTCCTTCTATTAAAACACTGAATGGTGACATCAGGGACCGTAGACACATGCAAATATCTTGACATTTGGCTGGATAAAGATCTTCATTTTAAACATCATATTACATATCTAATAAAAAGCTAAAATTTACTCTGTGTTTTGTATAGACTGAAATCATGTTCTTCTATTTCTTACTGTAAGCGGCTTGTTTTCATCACAGCTGGACTGTGGAGACACAATCTATGCACTAACCTCCCCCACTGCCTCAGATAAACTGGAGCCCACTTACTTGCTCTGAGTGTTTTCATTCAACCTTTATTTCTGCAGGTTAGTTCCATTGAGCCTCGGGGACTCATTTACAAGAGAGGCCTGGTTTTAACAAAGAGTGATGACGACAGTGGACGATCATAAAAGAAATTGGTTTTTGTCATATTCAGTCTTTAGGACTCACCATCATATATTCTTGCTGGACTTCACTCAGTACTCGAAGGATATTGGTATATTTTCATATACAAAGCCATTTTATGAAAATAACCATCATAGATCTACTCCCAGTTCATTTCACTCCAGAACACACAGTCTCAGGGCCAGGCTGTGGTTTAAGGTACTTTGTGCCGCAGAGTCAGGAAAGATGAGTTTGTCCTGTTTCAGCCCGTGGTCTTAGAATGATCTGCAGCTCAATGCAGGTTGGAGTCTTCACTCCTTGATCTAGTTTTGAACAAAAACTGTACTGTTTGTGTCTCAATATGTGATTTTTAAAAAACTTTCATTGTATTTCATGTTTAATGAGCAGATGTTTTGTTGTAAATACTCTAATATCACTGTTATTAAGTCTGTTGCTGTGTTTATAATGGCATGTTTGCACCGTGCACATCGCCCAGGACATTCTTGTAAATGAGATTAATAATCTCAGTGGATTCCTCTCCTGGTCAAATAAAGGTTTTAAAAACTCATTTGTGTCACCTGTGATGACCTGTCCAAACAGCTCCTCAGGAGTGTCTCCAAAGAAAGGCACGCAGCCCACCAGGAACTCGTAGAGGATGATGCCCATCGCCCACCAGTCCACAGGTTTCCCGTAGCCCTGACGGAGGATCACCTCCGGAGCGATGTACTCAGGAGTCCCACAAACCTGAGACGAGATGTGGAGACAAAGAGGAAAGAAGGACAAAGATGAGCTGGAGTTTCAACACCTTGTGGAAAACTATAGTCCATCCAGAATTCAAGCAAACTCTTTGAACTGCTTTGGTGTACACCATGATGCTGAAAACTAAAAACTAGCAGAGTTGGTAGAACGGATCTGAACGTTTAATGTCTTACCTGTCGCAGATAGCTCTTTGAATGACCTCGGTTTGCTTCAAGATGGCAGCAACCTGAGCTCCACTTGGAGCTGTTAGACTTCAAGCCTGTTTCTCCACAATGAGGTTCTTCAAAAAGCTACCTTTGATGGTTCATAACCTTAACCGAGAACCCCACGTCCAAAGATCGGAACTGTCCCTTTAAGTATGCGAGAATTAAAATAAAAATTCAAGATATTATTTTTAAACTGCACAAGTTTTAAAGTCTGTTCAGGGTACTGGAGAAGCGAGTCCAATCGTTGGTTGAACCTCAGATCCAGAAGGAACAAAGAGGGTTCCTTCCTGGCCGTGGATCACTGGACCAGCTCTTTACCCTCACTAGGGTCCTCGAGGGGTCATGGGAGTTTGCCCATCCAGTCTACATGTGTTTTGTGGACTTGGAGAAGGCATTCGACCGTGTTCCTTGGAGTACACTGTGGGGGTGCTCCATGGGACTGGGGGCTCGTTGCTGTTTGGTCTCTGTGCAGACAGTGAGAGAGGTTGGGTCTCATTGCCGGCAGTAAGTCGGACCCTCCAGGTGGGAGTTGGACTCCACCGCCTGTTGTCACTGATTCTGTTCAGAACTTTCATGGACAGAACTTCTCGGTGCAGCCAGGGTGTGGAGGGAGTCCAGTTCTGTGGCCTCAGGATTCATCTCTGCTCTTTGCAGATGATGTGGTCCTGTTGGCTCATCGTGCCATGATCTTCAGCTCTCACTGGAGCAGTTCGCAGCTGGGAGGAGAACCAGCACCTCCACATCTGAGGCCATGGTCCTCAGTCAGAGGTGGATTGTTCTCTTCAGGTCGAGGGTGAGGTTCTGCCTCAAGTGGAGGAGTTCAAGCATCTCAGGGTTTTGTTCACTAGGGAGAGAAGAATAGAGCGTGAGATTGACAGACGGATTGGTGCAGCATCTGCAGTATTGTGGACTCTGTACCGGTCCGGTGTGGTGAAGAGGGAGCTGAGCTGTAAGACAAAGTTCTCTTCCAGTCGGTCTACGTTCCTCCCCTCACCTCTGGTCATGAACTCTGGTAGAGACTGAAAGAATGAGATTGTGGATCCAGGAGGTTGAAATGAGTTTCCTCTGCAGGGTAGCTGGACTCTCTTAGAGACAGGGGGAGAAGTTCAGGTATCAGGAGAGACTCAGAGTAGAACCTCTGCTCCTCCACATCCAGAAGAACCATTTGAGGTGGTTCATCTGGTAAGGATGCTCCCTGGGCACCTGCGTAGGGAGGTGCATCATGCATGTCCTACTGGGAGGAGACCCCGGGGAAGACCCAGGACATGCTGGCGAGACTATGTCTCTCGGTTGAACTGGGAACTCCTTGGAGTCCTTCCAGAAGAGCTGGAAGAGACTGTGGAAAGAGATGTCTGGACCTCCCTGCTCAAGATGCTGCCCCGAGACCTGAGTCCAGAACAAGATGATGGATGCAGTTTTAAAATCTGAATATAAATGGTAAATGGACTGCACCTATACAGCTCCTTTCTGTCTCATCCAGACACTCAAAGCTCTTCACAACAATCTGTGCTTCATCTACCCATTCATACAGCTCTATACTAGATCTGTAATCAGAGCTTTATCACATTCAGACACTGATGGGACACACGTCAGAGGCAATGAGGGTTCAGTGTCTTGCCCAGGGACTCTTCAGCATGTGACTGCTGCTGGATTCAAACCCCCAAATCTCCCATTGGAGGACGCCTGCTGACTTGATGATTTTTAATTTGAGTTTTAATAAATCTGCACCCATCCTGTTTAATTTCAGCAGGTGAAGGGGAAATCTCATCAACACTCAGTAATCCAGCATGAAACAGAACTGCTGCTACAGTATAATCCAGCATGAAACAGAACTGCTGCTACAGTATA